TGAGAACACTTTCGTATCGTTCGTCAATTTATCAAAATAGGCACCTTTTCAAAGATAAAATTGTGCTGGATGTTGGTTGTGGAACAGGGATATTATCGATGTTTGCTGCCCGGGCTGGTGCTGAGCATGTATATGGAGTAAGAATCAAGAAAACCCCACTTTTGTCTCGGTTACAAAGATCCTGATGCGCAAGATTATCCTAACCTTTTATATTAGATCGATATGTCAAATATCATTGACCAGGCACGTCAAATAATCATCGACAATAAGTTAGATCACAGTAAGAAATTTAAGCAATATGACTTCAACTTAATTTTCGGCAAATCTTTAAATGATTACTTCATTATTAGAGATCACGCTGATCAAGGGCAAAATGGAAGAAGTTGAGTTGCCAGTTAGTCAAGTTGATATTATTATTTCAGAATGGATGGGATATTTTTTACTCTACGAGTCTATGTTGGATACTGTTTTGGTTGCGCGAGATAAATATCTGGTATATATAAATGATTAAATCCACTATGATTCCCGTAGAGTATATTCAAGTTACCTTCTGATTTATTCCCATAGAAACCGGAAGGTCTCATATTTCCTGATAAAGCAACAATATACCTAGCAGCAATTGAAGATGGAGAATATAAGGAAGAAAAAATTGGATGTACGTGGTGCCCATTGTCTTTGCAGAACCCACTCACAAATTCGTAATGAATAAATTTTACTCTAGTTTGGGAGAACGTTTACGGTTTCGATTTTAGCTCAATCAAATCTGTGGCTCTTCGGGAACCCTTAGTAGATACTGTTGATAGCAAAGCCATAGTTACAACCTCTTGTCCAATTAAGGTGCCAGGAGCGAAATAAGATTGAATCAACTTTTGTCATGGTTACCCTTTTTTGTGGCTTAATTTTATTGCTTGTAACCGACGTTTGTAGGAGATTGACATCCGCACCGTTAAAAAATCTGATCTGACTTTTACCGCCCCTTTTAAACTAACTGCCACAAGAGATGATTACATTCATGCATTCATTGCGTGGTTTGATATTGTTTTCTCAGCGTGTCATAAACCTATCAGATTTAGTACAGGTTTGTCTATTTCACTGATTTTATCTACGTAACGCTGAACAAAATCTTTCTCACGAAATCTTGTCTCAAGGTCCACACGCGAAATACACGCATTGGAAGCAAACTGTATTTTATACGTCTGATGCCATCACTATCAAAGGTGGTGAGGCTCTCGAGGGCACAGTATCGTGTGCACCGAATAAAAAGAATAACCGTGATCTGGACATTGAAATACATTATGATTTTTATGGTGAAGCGAATTCCTGTTCGGAAACCTGCAAATTTAAAATGTGAGTGTTGTTATTGATTTGTCACTGACTGTTTTTATATTCACTTATATTCAATTGTTTTACTTCATCTATTTGCTCGGTCAATTAATTCCCAGGAATTAGGTATTAATTTTACTGTGATTGATTTGTAAGGACATTTATGGAGCGAATAAAGTTTATGACAAGAAGGGCGATGTTTTCGATTTAGTGTGATGTGTTGAATTTTGTACTCCAAATTTCGCATTCATGGTGGTTAATTATGTTTCTACCTTTTAATCTCACATGAATGATTCTGGTCCGATTATCGGTATTCATATCCCGAAGAAAAAAATCCTGCAATTTCTATTCAAATTGCTGCGAAAGAAAAATAAAATCTAGAATTGATGAAAAAACAGTTTCTCGGTATTTCTTGGTGTAATATACATGACCGTGCGATACGCGATATGCAATCAGTTCGATAATTTGCAAAAAATATCTGGTAAAAATGGAGATAGAGGTAACACCAAATCCTTATTTGTAAGGTTCAAGAGATAATAAATTGGACAGACAGCCAACGATATTCAAAATTTTTAATTGAAAAAAAAAATAATTAAAATCTTTAATCACTTATTCATCCTTATATTAATTTAATAAACTGTATATACAGCATAATTAAATTGGCTTTTTTGATCAAATACCCAATAGAATTATTTTCCGGCAAGTCTAATCACGTGGTAGATTTGAGCTTTAGATGTGTTCTGAATATACACGGTTTTGAGTTCTCGAATTCTGAAAACCCCAAAAAACTTACAATGGTCTCGATTTTATGATTTTCTCAAAAAAATTATTATTCCTAGTAACTCAATAAAGTGACAATGCATAACTTAATTTATTAGGGAGCCACAAGACGCTATCCTTATCCCAAGGAAGTTTGGTAGGTGAATCCTTTTGCCTTGTATTACAAACCGAAACAGCTTTCGTTAATACAATTCATGTAATAGGTCACCAGGTGAATACAAAAATCTTGTAGTATTTTTATTGAATTTACCTAATGCATTCCCGTGATAGCTGGTGGTTGGTGGTCTCGACCTTCAAATTGGAAGTCCAACACAGCAATTGTTGCGACCGGGATGTTTGTAATTGTAGGGGTCCTTTGGAAAATATCGGCTGAACGTGAGGTAAATGTAAAAAAAAATTGGTAACATTGTTAATGATTAAGCTTATGAATACATAAATCAATTTTAGTGGAGACATACCAAGCCCAACCGATGGATTCCTTCAATGATGGTAACTTTATTTCCGATCGTTGGAATTGTGGTTATCCAATTATTTACTTTTCATGCTTGTATAAATTTTAGTGGTCAAAACAATTCAAAGATGGAGAATATAAAGATCTAAAGTTTGATGAAAACGGAAATGAGATCAAGAAACAAGAGTAGTTATTGATGTAAATATCTATGATGATTAGGTATTTCTTTATTACCATTTTTAATTAAGAATCTATTGAAAACCTCTCGACGAGTTTCCTTTGTAAATACTCATGTTAAAATACATTATATCTTTACTTCCTTTCCAATTCTTCTATAATTTTTTTGTACAGTTTTTTGTTAGCCTTCTTTCCACCATATAATACATCATTTATCCAATGAGCAATTAAACCAAAAATATATTTTTCCATTATCCAGGATACAATAAAATCCGAAAAAGCAATGACCAAAATCCACAATCGGAAATAAAATGCAATGTCAACAAGTTCCATAATATTTTTAAGAAATCCGAGAGGGTATAGGAGGATTAAAAGTGTAAAGAGCGAAAGTAAAATAGTGGTGATAATAAAAGGAACTATTGTAAAAAAATATTGTTAATATAAAATGAAAAATCAAAATAACGGAAGTTGATTAAGAAAAATTGATACCAACCATTGGTGATCATTGGTTTACGATATGGAGGTCCGACGCTGAACACTACTGCGATGAGAATGTACTGAAAACAAGACAATAGAAACAATGTCGTATTTTCGAAAGATTTTATATTCCCTTTGTCTGGAACAATGACCGGCTCCTTCCACCTAATAGAATAAATGTGTAAGCTACAACCTACCAAAGTCAATGAAACAGAGAAATAACTCACCATGGTTGTGCATGTAATAACATGTAAACAAAAAATTGAAACCCTGATTGAATCAAAATTTGACCTATCAAAGAAGTCAACACTTTTTTCGACACCAAACTTGCAGTGGGCCTCTTAGGATAAATGCGAGGGTATGGTTCAGTACGCCCCACTATTTAAAATGAAATCTGTAAGTTTTCTTGGAAATCAACGAAACAAATCAAAATATGTAATCTTACTTAAAACTGCAATTGGCAATATTAAGAATAAATCTATATATAAAAACTATAATAAAAAGATTGGTTAGTAATTAAACAACAATCATCCTAGAATCTATGGAATTAATTCCTACTTGATAGTCTCCTAAACTAGAAGCATATGCATATAGGATGCTAACAGTTGTAAACTGAATCATACTGTATAACGCCATATACTTAAAACAACTGAAGCTTGTGACCAGGGCCGCTCTACCCTCCCTATTTGAATAAGAGTTGGATCGTTAGGAAAGGGTGAGTACAGTTAAAGAAAAATTTAGTAAGATCCTTACTTAATAATTTCAATTACACATCCAATGTCTTTATTTCGACTCGTAAAAGGGGCAGCGACCGAAGCCTCAGCATCTGAAAGCGATAACCCAACATCGGCAGCTTTGAGCGCACCACAATCGTTTGCACCATCTCCACAAAATCCAACGCAATACCCTATCTCTTGTAGTTTTTCAACTAATTCATGTTTCTCATCCGGAGACATACGTGCAAAAATTTGTCCCTTGACCAACATCTGGAATTTAAATAGCATGGTTTAAGCGTATTATATGAAGCAGAAAAAGAGTAGAAAGATTTTCATACACTATATAACGTAGTCTCATCACCGTAGTCAACAATCCAACGAAAAACATCACCCGTCACAGCAAGGTCATATTCATAGGGATCTATAAGCGGGAACTCGGAGAAACCTCGCGGTGATTGAATGATCGGCTGTGAAATTTTATCCAGTTAGTACTTTCGATGAAAAACAAATTACATAATTGAACTAAATACCTTTAAAGATTTTGAATCTAATGAATCATTTTCATCACCCAAGCATTCCCAAGCGATAGATGATCCCGAGTTTCCAGATCCTTGAACGAATCGAGGAACATACACTTTAGAATTTTTGTTAATCATTCCGCACTCCCGAGAGACACTAATCGCAGTCAACACGTTGTCCCCTTGTATTAAAGATGAATGTGCAATGGTTATCATAAAAGTATAATGTGATTGGAAAAAAATTTCTGGGTTACTTACCTGTGCACATAACTTGTCGGATTTTGGCTTTTCTGAGAGTTTCGACAACAGGTGGAGTTTCTTTCTTCAATTTATTCTCAAATACAATAATCCCCAAAAATTCGAGATCCTGTTCCACCTGTTCCCTTCAATGCAAGTTGACAAGAAGAAAAATTAGTTGGACGAATTCATTTCCGATGAAAATTATTTAAAATGAAAATTAATAATACCTTTTGATTTTCTGAGCCTTTATCCAATTTAAATTGTCAAAACTTTTATAGGCACACGCAATGACTCGAAATCCATTGTGCATGTAATGGTGCAACAATTCATCATAATTTTCGGGAACTTGAGATAACAGAAGTCCAATTAAAACACAACTTTCATCTAAATTGTAGTAAATTAAAAAACTTACATGATTCTGCTCTACAAATCTCACGCATGACCTCGGGGGCACCTTTTACATAGACCTCAATTGTGGGACTTCGTAAACGTTTAACAAGTACACTCATACGACGTAAAGATGAAATAAATTCAAAAGTTCTGATTATACCCAACTCTAAGAATGTGTTTAGCTAAATGGATTAAATGGATTAATAAAAATTACACTCTAACATTCCAACACAAAAATAAATGCAATCGAAAAAAATATATTATACCTTTTCTCTATTATTTTGTTCATTATTCAATACATCGGAAAGATCAAATTGTCTACTTCCAGGTGGCCTAACAACTGTCGGCACCATTCCACCGGTACTAGTTGTGGGAGAAATGCTAACAGTCGTCTCTATTAGACTTGAAGGTCGTGAAGCACTTTGTCCACTTTCCTCTAGTATCCAATTGGTAAAATCAAACATCTTCAGGTCTAACGGGTCACCGATTAAATTATTGTCAACTGATCTAAGAGAATGACAAGTAGCCATGGCATAAAGAATCGGAGAGAAATTTGACTCGGTATATGAAACATTTGAACCCACTGAAGTATTACCAATGTTCGTATTGACTGAAGAAAGCGCATCAGATGATGTATATAGCTCAGAAAATCTAAAGAACACAATTAGTACTTGAATTTAAGAAACCCTCCTTCCAAAATTGACTAACCTGTTCCCTGATCGATCAACACAACGAACACCCAAAACATCTAAACCATCTTCGGTTAGAGTACCAGTTTTATCAAAGCACATGACATTCAACTTCCCACCAACGTTTACTCTTAAAGATTTTATTTTTTTTTAGTAATGTGTGAATTATTTACTAATCCATCGAGCACATAAGCTCCTTACCTTGCTGGACTAATGCAAAATATTTCGGATTTCCGCAATCTTGCAATAGCAAAACCTGTTCCGATACTCATAGTCGTGGGCAGTGCCGGTGGTACCACTATAGTGAACAAGTCCAAAGCGCGGAAAATTATAAATCGGGCACTAACATTCATCCTAAGGAAATTGTAAGCACTAATCACGAAGCCGATTAAAGCTAAAAAGTTGATGTCGAATTAGCACTCGTAAGTAGAAGGGAAAGGAGCCAACAGATAGTTAAAAACAATACCTATCAAAGCCAATACTCCAATGAACCGAAATGAATCACGGTAAAATTTAAATTCGTTTGGCTTTGG